CTCGTTTCGCATCTTTAAAGGGTCACCGATGGTTTGTCACCTTTATTGATGATTGTTCTCAGACCACCTGGGTGTATCTTATGAAGGACAAATGTGAAGTGTTTTGTGTCTCAAAATTTTCATAAAATGATTTGCACCCAGTTTGACGCGGTTGTCAAAATTCTGCGTTCTGATAATGGAGGGGGAATACATTAACTCTGGCCTTACCAACTATTTTGCCACCCATGGTATTAATCACCAAACTTCTTGTACCAATACGCCTCAGCAAAATGGTGTTGCAGAGCGTAAAAACAGCCATCTTCTTGATATTGCGCGTTGTCTGTCTTTTGAAATGTGTGTTCCTAGATCATATTGGGAGAAAGTTGTTCTCACTGCAGCCTTCATCATCAATCGTTTGCCTACCCAAGTCCTCCACAAACACACTCCTCTTCAGGTTTTGTTAGGGTCTCACTTGGTTGGTTTCTCATTCCTCCCAAAACCTTTAGGTGTGTGTGCTTTGTTCATAACCACTCTCCTACCCGTGGTAAGTTGGATCCTAGGTCTCTTCGGTGTGTCTTTCTGGGTTACTCCACCACACAAAAGGGCTATAAGTGTTATCATCCCCCTTCTCGAAATGTGTCTTTCTTTGAGTCTCAGTCCTACTTCCTATCCTTCTCGGTGTCCTAGTCATCCCTTCAGGGGGAGCCTTGGCATGAATCAATTCCTATGTCACTACCATCAGTGATTGAGCAGGTTGAGAATGTTAATGGTGACCCAGCTATTGAGAATGTTGAGTCTGAATCCGCAATAGTGAAGGATGTTGAGCCTGAATCCACAGTGAAAGACGGAAAAGTTTATGTCAGGGACAAGAATAGAAAACAAGTTACTTGGGTACAAGAAACCAATTCGGATTCTCCACTGCTATCTTCTCCTCCTGATAAGTGTCCAAAATCCTCTTCTTCTGATGAAACTCCAGGTAACTCTATTCTTTCTGATTTAGATATTCCCATTGCTACAAGGAAGGGGGTTAGGACTTGTACTCAACATCCTATTTCTTATTTTGTCACATACACTAATCTGTCTTCTTCCTATAAAGCTTTGCTGTCTAAAGTTTCTTCTGTGAGTCTTCCTTCTAATTTTCAGGATGCTTTTTCTACTCCTGAGTGGAAGCATGCCATGATAGAGGAGATGAGAGCCCTGGCTAAAATGGCACTTGGGAATTGGCTGAGTTACCTAAAGGAAAACGACTTGTTGGATGTAAGTGGGTGTACACACTGAAGCACAAAGCTGATGGTTCAATTGAACGTTACAAGGCAAGATTGGTGGCCAAGGGCTTTACACTTACTTGTGGAGTAGACTACCAGGAGACATTTGCTCTTGTTGCTAAGATGAGCTCTGTCAGAGTCCTTCTCTCCCTTGCCTCTAATCTCAACTAGCCTCTCCATCAATTTGATGTGAAGAATGTCTTCCTTCATGGAGATTTGGAAGAAGAAGTGTACATGGACATTCCCCCAGGCTTTGAAGATGTTAAAACCAAAGGAAAAGTGTGCCAACTACGCAAGTCACTATATGGATTCAAAGAGTTGCCTATGACTTGGTTTGAGAGGTTTACTCAAGCCATGCTGCGATATGGTTTCAAACAGAGTCAAGCTGATCATACTTCGTTCGTAAAGCACTCCTCACATGCCAAGACGACAGTTCTTATTGTTTATGTGAATGATATTGTACTCACCGGAGATGATATTGAGGAGGTTCCTTGGTTAAAGAAGTATTTGGCCAATGAGTTTGAAATCAAAGACTTAGGCAGCTTGAAGTACTTTCTCAGTATTGAAGTTGCTCGGTCCAAAGATGGAATTTTCATATGTCAAAGAAAGTATGTGCTTGATTTGCTAAAAGAAACTGGGATGCTTGGAAGTAAAGCCTGTGACACACCACTAGAGCTTGGAATGAAGCTTAATGAGGTTCAAGGAGGCGAGCTTGTAGACAGGGGGAGATATCAACAGCTAGTAGGTAAGCTTATCTACTTATCTCATTCATGTTCTGACATTGCTATCGCAGTGAGTATGGTTAGTCAATTTATGCATGCTCCACATGCAATTCACTTAGAGGCAGTTATGCGGATTCTGAGGTACTCGAAGTCTTCTCCGGGAAAGGGTCTCTATTTCTCTAAACATGGTCATCTTAGTGTGGAGGCATATACAGATGCTAATTGGCTATTGTACCTTTGTTGAAGGAAATCTAGTTACTTGGAGAAGTAAGAAATAGAATGTAGTTGCGAGGTTCAGTGCAAAGGCTGAATTCGAAGCTATGGCTCAGGATGTGTGTGAGCTATTATGGATTAGACTACTTTTGAGGGATTTGGTGATTCATCAGACAAATTCTATGCGGCTATACTGTGACAATACGACAACCATTAATATAGCTCACAATCCAGTTCAGCATGACAGGACCAAGCATATGGAGATTGATAGGCATTTTATCAAGGAAAAGCTCACTAGTGGCACTATATGTACGCCATTTGGGAGGTTTGGGGACCAACTGACTAATGTTCTCACCAAAAAATTAGGGAATAAACCATTTCGTAACATTCTTAATAAGCTGGGCATGAGAGATATCTTTGCATCAACTTGAGAGGGAGTGTTAGAATATGTTAGAATATTCCTTATTTTATTCTGATGTATATTTAATATTCTTATTTTATGCCTTAGGGCACTCCTGTAATTATGGTGATAATTTAATATAAAAGGGGATAAGATACCACTTCATACCTCTAACTTTTCTCTTCTCAAAACTGACATTTACACCCCAAGATAGCTCCCAAAGCCGAAGATCTCTCCACCTCCCACACTGGGATCAATTCTGATTTTGCTAAGTTCACCTGGACACTGCCACAAAGCACAACAACACACATCCCAAATGGCCAATGTGGTCCTCGTCCGCGTCACAGAAAATGAGCGCGTCATCTGCATAAAACAAATGAGAAACCTCCACAGCCCCTAGAGCCACTCCTACCTCAAACCCTTTCAACAAACCTTCTTGCACCGCTATTGCCACAAACGCCCCAAAGCCTCTCCATAACCAAGATAAACAGCAAAGGAGATAAAAGATCACCCTGCCGTAACCCTCGATGAGTCGGAAAGAAACCTGCTGGGGACCCATTAACCAAGGCAGACATTCGCACAATAGAAATGCAAAACTGAACCCAGCGCTGCCACCTATCGCCAAAACCCATCCTCTACAAAATGTACATCAAGAACTGCCAATTCCCATATTATCATATGCCATCTCAATGTCTAATTTACAAATAATCCCCTCCTTCCCTTGACGCAACCGCAAGTCCACACACTCATTCGCCACAAGCACCGCATCCAAGATTTGCCTACCCCCCACAAAAGCATTCTGGGATTCCGAGACCACCCCTTCCAGCACTCCTCGCAAAGGTTTGCCAAAACTTTGGTCAACACCTTATACACACTACCCAAAAGACTAATAGGCCGAAAATCTCTAATATCCTCCGCCCTACTTTCCGGTCCCATAAATGTAATTGGTAGTTATTATTATTATTTAGTTAGATTTAATTATGTAATAATTAGTATGAGACTTAATTTTGTTTCCCAAATTATATTAGGATTTCGACATTGTAATAATCAGTTTTCAAAAGAGTATTATTAAGAGCAAAAGGTTGTGGACGTTTCGTGTGTTCCACTCCCTCTTCTTCTATTCTCTTATATTGTTGACCATGAATTGCACTAAATTGTTAACCACTAACTCATCTAAAATGCTTTTGATGTTAGAGAACGTGCACTTCAACTATTTATGTCCTAGACAAATACAAAAGAGTTTTATTGAAGAAATATCAATTGAAAAATGTTAATATTATGAGGAACGCATATGAAAATCTATACACAATCCTAAATACAAGGTTCTTGAACTCTATATTACAGTACACAAACAAATTGTAATCCTTGCAAATTTGAAAACTTGGTAGGAAGCACAGCTATGGGTACGAGATACAGATGATATAGATACGGCAATAAACAAAACCTAAAAAAATAAGCTACGGGAATGGCTAGGATACATTTGTCAAAAATAAATAAATAAATAAATTTAATTTTAATAATAGTTCCACATAAGCTCAAGAATGTTGAAAAATCACATTGTAATTTTCTAGTGCAAAATATTAATCTTTAAGAATTGGATATTAATTTAAGCCACTAGCAAGTTTACTTTATAAAATTTTGATAGGTTTTGCAAATATTTCATTTCAATATCAAGTCTAATATGTTTATATTATAATAATATAACAATCCACAACTTATCCCTATGTTTTTCCCTTTTGCACTTGTAAAAAAGATTGTAACTTTACTTGTTAATTCATTTATCGATATTTAATTTTACTATTGTTATATTCTCTTGTTAATCCTTACTCTCTATGTGGTTATGCATGATACAATATGGATCCGTCAAATTGACAAATTCTATTAACTCACTATGTTCTTCTTATCAAACAAATAAGCAAAGTATTAGAAAAATATTCTTGTATTCATGTTCGCAATTATATTATATTATAATTCAATGCAAGAAATGCTACAATTCTAATTTTGTAAAAGTAATACGTGACTTGGAGTATCTAATACTTCAAAATTAAAGAAAACTTAATTAAGAAGTATCCAATAGAAGTAATACGTGACTTGCAGTATCCAATTATTCAAAATTAAGCACTTGATGACCCAAAATTAATGAAAAATTAATTAGGAAGTATCTGGCACTTTTAAGAAGTATCCGATATGTATAGGACTCCCTTCTAGAAGTATGTGTCGTAAACCTAAGAACAAGAAACAATTAAAGCTAGAAAGCTACAAACCTCCATCTAGAACTAAACCTAGATTCAATTACTTGCGGTAATAAGGTGAGGAAAATACAAATCTAATACCAATCATAACATGCAAAAGTTTAAATCATTTCAGTGAGTACATCTCCCTATCTAGAACCTGATATCATATATCAAGATATGGCATTACCTGGGAGAATAATGTCAGTTGGTTCAGATAATCGGCGCTCTCCCACAACTGAATCAGAACGAACTGGCATATATCTGTCATACACATTGAACAATTGTTTCAAAATATATACTAATTCTGCAAAAGAATTCATGAAACAAAAATTTCAAAAAAATAAAATACAATTTTTTAGCTACCAAGCAACATGACACTAGTTGGCACCAGCTTAAGATAATTGAAAAGACAAACTTATTCATGCAATGATAAACAGGAAGCTAGAAATGAAATTAATGCCATTGAAGGCAGACCCTTTAGCTGCTGCACTACTAGATATCATCCAAAAATAAATAAATAAGTAAAGGTGCCAGAGAAATTGATGATACCATCTTTCTAACAAAATAAAAAACAACATTTTTTACACCATATCAGGAATAGTGTAAATAAATATGAGCAAAGTAAATCATTTTGTTTTGGGAAAAAAAAATTATTATTATTTCAAAGAAGAAAAGATAGATAAGGATATGGTGGAAAAGAAATCCACCAACATAACTGATGTAGTAGAATAAATACATAAGTGTATGATTAGGTGACCTAATAGTTGTAGTCTATAAATAGGTGATGTAATACCATTGTAGTAGAGCTTGGTTTCTCTCTCTAGACCTTGGGGGTTTTACCCCTAATTGGGGCATTTGTCTTCTCTCTCTCAATTTGATCTTTATTATTTGGTTTCGGAGCTTGAGATTCTGTGCCTAATTTGGCTGTACATGGTTTCATCATCCGCAGCAATTGAGCATATGGTTCGCTGATGTTCCACTCTGATTCGACCTATATTCAGTGTTGTAACTTGGTTCCAGTTCATGGGCCTTCTTTGCAAATCAGTTTTGCAGCCCACATGCGAGTTGATTGACACCTTCGATCAAAGTATTGCTCTTTGCGAACTGACTGGAGTTCTTCGCGAAGCTGTTCTTGTCGGCATGTGAATCTAATCACAAACTGAGTTTGCGATCTGACTTTGCAGATCAAGATTTGATCAGAGTTTGGTCCTGCAACTCAGTTCGTCGCTGAATCAGACATCGCTGACCTTTCATCAACTCTGAAATTCGAATCTAGACTCCTTCGTGATCTGACCTTGGGGCTTCCTTCGCGACTCGCGATTCTTCTTCACAGTCCTGAGTCGAATTTGCGAACCTTTGCAATCAACTCGCGACCTGAAGTGAATCAATCCAACCTGCTGTTGTTCTTGGTCTAATTACGAACTATAACACCTCTAATGTTCTTGCATGACATATGCATGTTTTGTTCTATGTTTAAGTGCTTTGAATTGCATTAGTACCTTCGATATTTTAAAATACTTTCAAATATGCTTTGGTAGGAAATAAATTGAAGTTTAAGGGTATGAAACCTAGAAAGCTTCCTCTTTGAACATAGTATGCTTATGTGTGCTCTTAATTCTTAATCGAGGTGCTTAATTATGTTGGTCTAATGCACTAGACATTTTCATATATTATGTGTAAGAACTTAATTGGGATTAGTGGTAATTAAGCGTGTATAGTGTAATTAATCTCAAAGTGAAGTTTTTTTTTTATGGTCTTTGGTTCATGAAAGTATTTTGACCAATGATGTCCTTCAGACAAGTAGGCCTAATCGTTATCTTTTTCCTCAATGGTGCATAATGTGTAAGGGAGAGGGGGAAGACTCTGAATCATCTTTTTTTGCATTGCCCAATGGCAAGGAGTTTGTGGCAGCAGTTCTTTTCATGGGGTGGTCTTGCTAGGGTGGCACCTAAATCATGTAGTTCAATGCTCTCCATTGATTTTCGATTTTTGGGTGTAAATAAAAAGGGGAAGGTGTTGGGCCTTTGTGCAGTTTTAGCTTTTTTCTGGATCATATGGTTGGAAAGGAATGCAAGAATCTTTGAGGATAAATGTATTGATGTCTCTTCAATGAAGGTGAAAATCAGATTATTAGCATCTTTTTGGGCTTGGGTGCCTCCCCCGTTTAGGGAAATCCCGCTTTTTTTGATTTCTAGCAATTGGAAGCCCGTGTGTGATTTTTAGGCTTTTTGGTTTTTGCTTTTGAGAACTTCTTGTCCTCCTTTGTACTCCTTTCATTTTTATTTTTATTTTTATCTCTTTTCTCCATTTTAATAAAATCTTCTTTTGTTGCTGATCAAAAACATTAAAAAAAACAAACAAACAAACAAACAAACAAACCCTTAAATATGATTAATTAAGTTAAGCTGTGGCCTTAGCTTGATTAATTAGTACTAACATAGCTTAATTAGTGTTAATCTAGATTAATTTAGTGATATGATTAGTAGAGACAAGTACACACACACACACCCCTCACTTAAGGAGGTGCCACCTCCTACTTGTAAGAGATATACACATAAATTTGAGAGACAAGTGTCTCTCTTGCATGTAAAACAAAAGAAAATAGAAGAGAGAGAAAATCTGCTGGAAAAGAAAGGAGCAAATAAGAGAGAAAAGAAGAAGAAGAAAGGGAAAAACGTGGGGTGTGTTTGGTTTGTGTTTGTAGAGTAGTTTTTTAGATAAAAAGTACGAAAACTTGTTTGCCTTTTTTCAGAAATGGTTTTGAAAAATTGTTTTGGGGAGAGAGTTTTAAAAAAAGTGATTGATTTGATGTATATGAAAGAGAGTGATTTTGAAAAGTAGGTAACCAAACAAAATTTTGAAATTTTTTTTTTTAAAAATTGTTTGGTTTGATTACTCTTGAAAATTTATTTGCAGAGAATTTTTTCCAAAACTTTTTTTGAAAAACAAACCAAACAAGCCCTTGGATTCTTGACCTAGACTTCTTCTTAGCTTGAATTGAGGTAATATTCTTGTTCTTACACCTAATTATAACCTTTTACTTGGTTGATTTTGTTTAGAGATGATATTTTTAGGGAGGAATCAAAGAACTTATGTTTTCATACTTATATTAATTGAATTTAAGCTTTTGAGTTAGAAACCGCTAATTATTTGAGAAATATAACCTGACGGGTTGCACTCTTTTGGCCATATTTCCTAATATATATAGTCTATAAAATTTTTATGTGAGATTACTTCCACTAGAAACTGGACTTGTGGGACTACAATTTAGACTCAAATTTTGCCCAAATCCATGTTTGTATGAAAGAGTTTTGCTCAATCTTTGCTGGAAATTAGTGCACAGGCAGCAATTTTGGGCCAACTTTGATTGAAATCTGTATTAATTGGGAAAGAAATAATTTGTATGGCCTATGTCATAGGAAACACATAGGAGTCTAATTTCTAACGAACCAAATGGAGGTTGATTTCGAGTTTTCTAATAATAGATATGACTGTTGTACTAAAAGGTGTCAATGCAGCCAGACAACTTAAGTCACACTAAAATTGTTTCAATCCTATTTTCTTCATTTAATTCAATCCCAAATCACACAGAAGTTAACCCTAAAATGTTTTGAGATATTAGTAAGGGCCAAAGTAACACATCTGAGTCTCACTACACGTTAAACAAGTTAATTTAAGAAAATGAAATTCAATTGCTCTAATTTTATTGAAATGAATTACCTACCAACATGCATTGCATTATATGATGTAAGTTGATTATATTTGGATCTAACACTTAGAAAGAGTTGAGGTGAGTAGTATTTCTTCAAAGTTAATTTGAACTTCTATTTTAAATGCTTAAAACTTGGTTTGATCCAAATTGTGTTGAAATGTTTCAAACTAATGGATATCCCATGATTACGTTTAAGTGAATATATACATGGCATCCTCAGTTAGTCCCAGCTATTAAGGGACAGGAAATATACTAGTATCAGTTGTTTCAGAACTCCAATGCCACCCACGGGTGGGTTTGTCTAACCGGAGTCAACCCGGTTATCCCATTTGTTAGTACTGATTTGGATGTTCATTATCATCATTTTGAAATGAAATGTATATGGCTATTTTGTTCTCAAACTGTTTAAACTCTCAGTTCAACTATGTTTTTTATCACACAAATGCTGATATCCATTATTATACACCTTTGATTAAATTCATTGGGTTTTGGCTCACCCTCCTCCCTACATATATGTAGGTGACAAAAGTGAATGAAGATTGTGCCAGCTTGGTATATATGTGTATATGACGTGAAGGACCTACATGTCTTGCCTTCTCTTTTGGAGAAAAGTTTTGTAATGACTCGTGTATAGTTAGTTTAGTAAATGAGATGTATATTAGTTTTGTTTTAAAGTTGTACTCCGTTGTGATTAAGTGAAGGTTGTAATAATAAATAGAGCGGTAGTTTGTGTTCATTTCATCTATCTACACAGTTGCTCTGAATGGATGTTGTGAGATCAAACAGGTGTTAAGTTATGTGTTGGAGGGTGATATTGTCCTTGTACTTATTCCTTCATTAATATAAATACATGTGATAAGAGAGGTAAAAACCTAATTTTGGTTTGTGCCTCCTTTTCCTACAACTCTCTTGTTTCTTTTTGTCTTCTCCCTCAACGCTTACACTTCATCATATAGTTTTAACTCTGTATCAAAGCTAAGAACTTATTGTATTTTATTTTTCTTCCATTCTTTGTCTTTCTAGGTGGTTTATCCTGTTTTTTCCTTGATCGATAATGTAAAAAAAAAAATTAAAAATAAAACCCATACCACTATGGTCAACTAGGGTAGGACAGTTGCTAGAAAAAGTTTCATCATTTTTTGCTTTTTGGTTGCCTATATTTTCGATTTTTCTTTATTTTTTGGAAAAATAGGTCTAATTTTTTGATTTCTCCATTCTGTCAGTGTTTTGCTCGATTCATCACTTGGGCCACACCCTATGGGGCCAACCAGGTGCTTCAAGGCCTCCCTTAGCTTCGGTTGGTGATTCTAGATGCGTTTTGATCATTTTTTCGCTTCACAATGATGTTAGTCTTCTTCCAGACAGTGTGTTTTGCTTTTCTCCTCAAGGCTGTCTCTTTTTGGCTTTATTTTCATGCTGTTGGGTTGTGTATGCTGGGAAATAATTTTCTTTTGATGGATTCTTTCAATTGGTTGTGGTTTTGTCTTATTTTTTGGGTGTGCTAGCACTGTCTTAGGCCATGGCAGATGACGACAAGACCTCTGTAAGCAGGGAGGTGAAAGATTCAAGTCCCACTATCTCTCTTGGTGATAATTCCTATCTTCAACTTACTCCGGTCAAGTTAGGGAACACCAATTACCTGGTTTGGTCACGTTCTTTTCAGTTGGCCATTACTGCTCACACCATCTCTGGTTCCATCAAGAGAGTTAGCAAGGCTCCCAAGGAGTATGGACCAGCCCGAAAGAAATGGCATAAGGAATGCTCTTGTCATGACCTAGCTCGTTTACTCTACACATTACAGTATTAGCTGCTCATTTATTTTGATGGATACTGCTCATGAGATCTAGACGTGGTAATGATATGTAAGCCTGTGAGCTGTGAAAAAAAATACGGGAGTTGATCAAAAGGATAGGTCCCTTGCCGAGTGTTATCGACTATTTTTAGAACTTCTAGGCTATTTGTTCTCAAGATGCCACTACCTTTCAGCAAATAGTATCAAAAGAGAGGAGGTCTATTATTTCCTTGCTGGTCTTAACATCAATGATCAGATTTGTGTTTAGGTTCTCAGCCAACATTATTTTCCCACTATGCATGAGGCATATGCTTGTGTTCATCAAGAAGAGAGTAGGCGCAACGCTATGGTTCATCAGCCTCTCCAAGATCACTCTGCTTTAGTTGTTTCCTCTGTTCCCAAAGATGACCACTTTCTTCCATCCAAGTCTGGAAGCAAAGGTAACAGTGGTAATTGTGGTCAGATTACCTGTGATTATTGTGGGAAAGACCGGTATGATAGGGAACATTGTTGGGAGTTACATGGTCACCCTCCCCGAGGGCAGGTTGGTGGCTGTGGTGGTTCTGAAACAATCTCCATGGAAGTTCCACTAGATTTTCCTCTCATGTAACTGAAGGAAATGTGTGCAAATTAAAGAAGGCACTTTATGGGTTGAAACAATCTTGTGATCTGGTTTGACATATTCAGCAAGGCCATGTTGAGGTTTGGATAAAGGTAGAGCCACGCAGACCACACTGTGTTCATTAAACGAGGTGACAATAAGATAACTATCATCATTGTATATGTTGCTGATATAGTGGCAATAGGAATTGATGCTGTGGAAGGAGTGGGTGGGTCCAAGGCACAGGCCAGCTTGGTATATTAAAGATTTGGGGTCATTGAAATACTTTCTTGGAATTGAGGTTGCCAAATTTGACAATGACATCATTATTTCTCAAAGGAAGAATATCCTTGATCTTCTAGACAAAAAGGCATTCCTAGGTTGTTTATATGCAGATAAAGTTACAAATGACTTAATTAAAGCTAGAGATTTATCACATTAAGAGCTTGTATTGTATATAATTTCAAATTTTAAGTAATTTAAATTAAAATTTTACACAAAAATAAACAATTATTTAAGGTAAAATAACATAAAAAATAGCAGATCTAACTAGTAAGGATGTTCAATCATTATTATAGTAATAATGATTAGCCTTTTAGTAGCATGAGACAATAAGTGTAATATGTCACAAAATTATTTTATTAGAATCATTTTCTATTAGGGACTACTAAGCATAAAAAAATGAGAGACTAGATAGTTACCCGAACAACAAGCGGCAATTGTAGTCTGAATCTGTAACTTGGTAAGTCCTAGAATTTGCTCCATTAATAAGAATGATAGTTCCCTCATTAGTTTCTCTGTACCAGCTAAACAGGCTTGGTCCTTCATATCCACCAAAATATTCTCCTTCCCCAAAATACGTACCCGATGACAACTCCTTTACATGAACATTAGAAACTACTGGAAGAGCTGCCATATCATTTCACTTTAATATGTTAGGCAGAAATAAATAAAGGGAACCGGAAGGTATGATTGAATCCAAAAGGAAGCAGTAATAATAATGCCTCAGAGAGGCAACCAAGAAGTAGCACAACTCTTTAATGTCTCCGTATATCCACCTCTCTTAGGCTGAAACTAACAATTATGAATGACAGTAAACACTTGAACTTTCATAAATTTTGACAGAATGCTACATACCATACAAGATGCAACAAAATTAAAGGAACCTCTACTAACCACCTAGTCAAAACTATTTGGACATGATTGGTAAAGGTATCTTACTGTTGACAAGTTTTAGTGATAGAAAGTACATTTATAACCATGCTATAGGTCCAATGCAAAGATAAACAACCTTATACATCTCAGTAAAGAACAATAAGTCTGCACCTGGAGTAACTGAAGAATTGCAAATTGATACTAGAGGCTTTCCGCATTTTCCATCTGCACGAGTCGGCAGCCAATATAAAGCCAAATAAGCTCCAATGTCTTCAAGTGATGGTGTGTATGTTCTGCCAGTATAGTGTGTCATTTACAGTAGCTTATTTGCAATGTACATACATTTCCAAGCTACGAAATTCATAACATGATGCAGTTACAGTGTTTTTCCACATATAAAGACATCACAAGCATTGGATATGTCCATGAGAGCAGGCCCATGTAATATGTTCTTTGTTCTGTACCAAACATATTCGCCATCACCTTCTTGTCCACCAAAGTATTTCTTTTGAGGGACCACCATCTTATCCTCACAGCAATCAGGAATTACAAGCTCCAAACCCATCGGATCCGCTGTTGCAAGACACTTATAGTCAAATTTTTCGAGTACGACATGAAGATGTGATGTGTAAACCAATATACAGAGATGAAGAGAAAAAATGAAGCATTATTACTTTCTAATTGTTACAATGTTTATCGTTAATCCTGAGGACTTACAGTGGGCTGCAATAGCATCATCTTTTAATCACTAGATAATTATTAATTTTAGTATTTATTTGATGCATACTATTTGTGCTCCAACAACAATCAACTGGGATTGTGTGGATCCTGATTAAGTACTGGACACTAAGCACTTGACAACAGATCCAACTTGAAGAAAGGGCATTTTTGGTATTTCAGCACTGGTGACATGTTGCCCAAATTCTATACCTGATTCTATATATGTTAGTTGAGGGGCAGCAGATATTTTTATGTCTCTTGTAACTTTATAATCATAGTCGAAGCATGAATGTGGCCATATTTTTGGGTGAACCACATAAATGTTATGTTCTTGTGTGTGCATGGGATTTACAATTCTTGTCCTTTTGCTCTTCTCTGTTTTTCAGCTCTCATTTATCCTACTTAGGTCTTACGGATTCCTAACAGCTAGCATTAAAGCTTTAGGTTTGAGTGGGTGCAATGGCCTCAAACAAAGAAAAGGTTAGGATTGATAAATTCAATGACACGAATTTTGGGTTCTTGAAGATGCAGATTGAAAATAATTGGGCTAGAAGAACTTCTACATGGCCTATTGGGAGTTGTTCAGTTGATATTGGCTCTACAAGAGGAAGTTCCAAAATATGGAAGCCCTTGCAAATATATATATATATATATATACAAAAAAACACTTTACCTCAAATAAGGTTTACATGATACACAAATTTTAGGTTCTCTGCGTAGTATTGCTAACTTACTCTAGTTAGAAATTCATTTGGACTAAGATTTAAAAGAATTGAAATGAAGAAAAACAAGAAAGTTTAGAAACCAAGAAAGGGTTCAAAGATTTGGCATCAAGAACATGTTTTGGTATGTTTTTACTTTGAATTCATAGCATACAAGTGTTTACCTTTCATTCCCCTAGCGCCCATTCTTGTTAGGAACCTTAAACAATGAGTTTTGTAGAAATTTGAGTGAAGAGAAATAAAGAAAATGGACAAGGAACCAAGTTAGTGAAATCTTGAATTAAACCTTAATTTTAACAAGTTTGAACTCAAAATCTTTCCAAGAAAAAAGTTTCTAAGCATTAGACATTATATTTACATGTTTTTAGACATTATCTATCATGTTTTGAGAGTTAGAAATGAAGAAAATTGAATTGGGAAGCCTTAGGACATGAAGAACAGTTTCAGCCTTGATCTGGGCATGTTGTCGGCTCGAGCGGCCTTCATCGGGCGCTCGAGCGCGCAGAATGCATTTTTTCATGTCTAGACCAACCGCTCAAGCGGCCAAGACTTCCGTTCGAGCTGCCCAGCCACCGCACGAGCGGCCAAGGTGGGTGCACTCCGGCCAACCCTGTTTTAGCTTATACCTTGCAACTTTAAATGAGCATATCTCTCTCATCCGGATTCGGTGTTACGTGATTCCTGAGTCTAAATTCAAGCCCCAGAAGTCCAATTTCCAATGGTGGTGGTCTAGCATGCAAATTGTAAATACACAAAAAGATATGTTCAAATTAGTGGAAGCTGCTCACTTTCTTCTTAATCATTTCATGCTAATTCCTCTCCTAACTTAGTTTGCTTCCATTCCTTCTATTTCCTTAAACATCAAGCATCTAAATGTGATAATTTTAATACAAAACATATGAAATTGTTGTAGGATACCTAAGGCTTTTCAATATGCACATTTGGTACATGATTAACACTTGAACTTGAGCTTAGAAAGATTAGAAAACATTAATTTAAGACATGAACAATTAAGGCCATTCAAAGTATGTCATTGGCACACGCTTTGTACTTGCTTCACATTTAGAAAAGACTTGAATTAAGCCTAGATTAGCATTAAACACTTGAGAAAGGTTTAGGGAAACATCTAACCAAATTTAAGCACTCGGTTTGTCATGTTTGCACAAATAAGCTAGGTACTTCAATGCCGCAACCAACACTAGAATTTTAGGGATTAAACAACGTGAGTAAGAATGAAGAACATATTAAGTCACTTAGAACGCTCTCACTAATCTAGAGGCATACAAGTTAAGTCATAGCCAAGTCTTGAACAATTTAGAAAAGAAGTTAGGAAACATTAAACAAGATTAGAACACTTGAATTAAGATTAGGATTTGCAAGCTGAATTTAATTTCAATGCTTGTTCTTGTTTTGTGTAGGTTAAGCTTTGAAGAAGCTACACCCTCACTCCCGGAGCCATTTGTTAGTAGTAATTCAATAACGCTATGTTTGTCAAACTGTATTTTCAATGCAAAACTTGATTATGTTTAGAAGCTTTTATATGTTTTGTTATGAATGAACATTTTATATTCTTCTATCATGTATTTAGATGACATTCATGGATCAGGCCCACAATTGGGGCAATATCCAATCAAGCCCACTACTGGAGAAATATCCAACCATGTATAATGGCCAAGCTCACCTTATTACGTTTAGCCGGTACATGGGCCAGTTAACCACCTTGTAATCCTTGAAATGTCCATCACTATGTAATGTTTGCAAGTCAAGTATGCTTTGCCTTGTTCAAGTTAAAGTTATGAACAAGTTATGTTAAATGTTATATTTCTAAAGTTCACGAATGTTCATTCATTTACCGCCTTACTTTATTACTATTCACTGGGCAATGGTTTACCCCTCTCCCTTATATATATATATATATATATGTGTGTGTGTGTGTGTGTGTGTGTGTGTGACGAAGAGTTCGAGTATGAAGAGAAGTTAATTTCGAAGCCAGACTTGTGTGCTTGTGCTGATTTGTAAAGTTATGACACATTATTTTATCATTTAAGTTTGTAATAATGCAATGTAATGAAATTAAAAAGAATGTATGCTTTCATTTCATACAGTTATGCACTGCTTTGAATGAATGTCGTAAATGGACTCAATATAACAGATAATGGCTTTCGCACCTCTATTAAAGAAATTTTGCCCCAATTATATTTAAGAGTATGTCTTGTTTTTGCTATGGTAGGCCTTTGATAGTTGAGGACTACTGACCGATCACTGCACTATCCTATTTGGGGCGCGTTGGAGGTAGTGGACTAGGTAGAGAGAGAGAGAGAGAGAGAGAGAGGCTATCGGAGACAAAAGAGTGGGAGAGAGGCTGTTAGAGGACTTAGGCAAGGATGAAGAGGTAGAGAGAGAGAAGGGTTAGGGTTAGGTCTAGGGCTAGGGTTAGGGTTAGGCTTTGATACCAAATAGAATACAATGAATTGAATGGCTTAGTCTAGAATGGAGACTAGCATGTTTATATATACTGATGAAGATTTACAAGATAGGAACGGAACTAAAATAAAGAAACGAATCACATAATATATGCTTAATATGCCACGATTACACAATCACGGGATTCTAATTCCAATTCCTAATTCCAATAGCAACAAGAAGACAAGCACAAGTAAATCCACGAATGGTTGATCTCCATCTCGACCAAAGTTACACGCAAGTGCTAGGGTTGGAGTAAGACTAGTCACGCAAAACGACAATAATCAAGGTGAGTAGTTCGTGAATGTTTTTGATGAAGAGGGTTCTGAAGCATTGTTGTGGGCTTTAGAAACTCGTCAAGAATCGTGGGTGATTGATTCTGGTGCGTGGTTTCATGCTACCTCGCACAAAGAGTTGCTCCACAATTATGTCTCAACAAGTAATTTCAGAAACGTGTACCTTGGAAACAATGAAGCATGCAACGTAATTAGCAAGAGTGAAGTACAAATAAACCAACCCAACAGGAAAATCAATGATGTCAGACCAGTGCCGTGTTTGAAGAATTTGATTTTTGTAGGCCAACTCACAAATTCCAATATTGTGACAATCTTCGTCGGTGACACGTGGAAGATGACCAAGGGAGCCATGGTGGTGGTTCATGGAAAAATAGAAGGTACTCTATACGTGACGTCGGGCACTATAGTGCAATTGTCGTAACATCATCAGAAATTGAAACGATCATATCGCACCGTAGACTTGGACATATGAGTGACAAAGGGATGAAGGTTTTGATGTCAAAGGGGAAACTACCGAGTTTGAATTCTTTGGACTAGAATTTCTGTGAAGATTACATCTTTGGAAAACAAAAAAGGGTTAGTTTCACCAAGATTCTGAGAGCTCAGAAGTCAGAACGATTGGAGTTAGGCCAAGTTTGGCATGTCTTGAAAAAGACAAAAAGTCAAAAAGTTACTATCCTATTTAAGTCACATCACCTCTCTAACACATCACTTCAAACCCAACCCAAACCCAACCCATATTTTATAAAAAGTCAAAAAGTGCACTTATTTAGATCATCCCAAACAACCCCTTAGTTCATATAGATGTGTGGGGACCATCTCCGTTGGTGACTCTAGTTATTTTGTCACTTTTATTGATGATGCTACGTGTAAATTATGGATATATTTTTTGAAAAATAAATCTAATGTGTTTGACGTCTTTAGAAAGTGGAAAGCTTTGATTGAGAATGAGACAGGTTCAAAGTTGAAGTGTCTCAAGTCTGACAATGGTGGGGAGTACATAGATGGCGCTCTAGAAAAATATTGTGGAGAAAACAGAATTCAATATGTGACGACGATTTCAGGCAAATCACAACAAAACGGTGTGGCTGAGCTCATGAACTGAATAATCCTGTAATGTGCTAGAGCATGAGGATTAATGTCGGGTTGCCAAAACAATTTTGGGCAAATGCTTTGAGTACATCAACATATATGATTAACAGATGTCCTCTAGTTCCCCTAAATTGCGGAATCCTAGAAGAAACATGGACTTGAAAGAGGTGAATTTGTCACATTTAAAAATATTGGGTTGTATCTCTTATGTTCACATTGATTCTGATAAAAGAAGTTAGATCCCAAGTCTAGTAAATGCGTCTTTATTTGGCATGGCTTTGATAATTATGGGTACTGAGTTTAGGACATGGAAAATCGAAAAATAATTAGAAGCATGGACATGGTGTTTAACGAGTCTTGTCATGTACAAAGATAGGCTTGATGACAAGACTAAAGAACTTGAGACGGTTGAACTTGAGGAGATTTCTGATAGTGATGTGTTGAAACCACGATGATTCTAAGTGTAGACCACATCTCACCAACTTTAAATGTACTCCATCAACCTCATTTTTGGGGTAAAATTCGGGGCAAAATTTAATGGTCCATAGTGTTTTCCTAGGTGTTTTGATTTTGATTTTTATTTTTTGGGTTAGAGTTTGGGTTTTTGAATTTTGGTTTGGGTTTGGGTTTGGGTTTGGGTTTGGGTTTGGGTTTGGGTTGAATTATATAATGATTTTTTTCATGCCATGTCGCTACTACCGTGGCAAATTCTATCAAAAAATGGATGGCAATTAGCTTTTGGAGAAAATTGGGCCAAATTGGAAATGTTAAGGGCCAAATTGGGGAAAAAAAATACTTGGCCAAAGTGAGAAAATGGTGAACCTTAAAGGGGGTAAAGTGTAATTTACCCTTATAATATAATCAATATACACTAAAAATAAAAAATATGAACACAAGACATGAATACTATAATATAGTATACAGATTATCTAATACGATTGTTATACATTACACAAATACAATACGATATTGATATGTCGACATGAAAACTTTTAAAAACCAAGATGCAACAAGGTATGGAAATGACGACAAATAAATAAAAATTCTTATATATGTACATGAAAATAATAAGTTATTCCTTTTTAATGTTAAAATTACACTTAAATTCATTATATAAAAAGCAAACATCATTTTGCACATTCTATATATTGGAGAAGTGTGAACAAAAAATTCCAATATCTAGAAAACTCTATTCATAAACAAATTGGAAATTGTGGGACACGTGTCTCTAAACCAAGGACATGTGTCTCTTAAGTATTTGTAGTGTCCAATTCCTAAATAATAATAATAATAATAATAATAATAATAAATTAAAATAATAATATGACACATTTGGATGTGTCCGACACATGTCTAGGAGTGTCCGACGAGTATTGGTGTCCAACACGGACACATCACCTTCTTAAAAGTGTTCATGCTTCTTGGGATATAAAATGTTAGAAGTAAAATGACCAAATATTTACTGCTTCAGTATTGTTGGAACTTCCATTTGAAGGAACTACTTACCAGGAGCAACCACACTAGACATCACACTATTAGCAGTCCCTTTAACTCCATCTTTACGGACAGGTGTGTAAACAAGTTCCACACATCTTCCCACATCCTCAATAGTTAAGTCAAAGAACTCTGCTAACAGAATATTTAATCTTGTAAGTTCAAACAAACCAGTTAGGGAAAACAAAATAAATAAGAATATTGTGTAAGACACAAATGAACTTACCACCAGCATTTAGTTTATCCTTTAAACCATTACTTTTCACTCTAAACCACTCAGATAAGCAATCTCCTTTTTCCCTGAACCAAGATTTAATAAACTCAATTTCAAAACAAGTACGTTCAGAAGCTCAGGCTTTCCACAGTATGATAGTCGAGCAAATGTCTCACCCTCCACTATAAGATGCAAAGAAGCTCAAACGTTCCCCTTCCACAAATGATCCATGAAATTCAAGTAACTGACAACTAGGTGGCCCTACAATAGCAAGTCATATTCAAAGATAATGTTACTTCCATCTTTTAAATAATGGTTTTCCTGGAAGGAGACATATATAGGCATTACTATAGATTAACAAACATGAATGAAGAGAATGTCAATAACAATACACATCACATGAAGGAAAATAAAATTTTAACCCACTATTGCCTAAACATGCATTAGCAAAAAGTGCTACACAGAAATCATTCCAGTACCACGTATTATCACCCCAATTTGTTTAGAAAGCACAATTGGACCATGGCCATTATATCATCAAAAGGCAATGCAAAGAAATCATTTGCATACCAGGTATTATTGGTCCAATTTGTTCAGAAAGCACAACAGGACCACGGGCCCAATCACTTCTGACAGGCTCACATGAAACTGATATAAAGAAGCCAATGTCATCAACCGAGAGCGTGTATGATGAAGTAGTAGCATCTTTAATTTCACTATGGGTGCCATCTGAGCTAGTCTGCATCAACATTTTATGTTATTCAGCAATTGTAACAGTTACCAATCAATTACAATGCAACCACTTTCAAGTTAATGGACCAGTGGTATATGTCACCAATATAAGTGAGATCCAACTATCATCCAACAATTTAAAATCTGGTATCTATAATACCAATTATTGTTCATAGAAAAGTAATGAGCATTGTCAAGTAGTAACCAAGGAAAATTCAAATCATTGCTTTCCAAGAATGGGCCAGGCGAAAATTTATGAGGACTGTGTTAATTTAAAATACCCGGAACCACCGAAAAACTGATTCTCCCTCTTTGCCACCCCAATATTTTCTATCAACAGTCATTATAGAGCCTTCAACAGCAGTTCCGATTATTTGCAGAGAAAGCAATCTCGGGCTCCCTGATAAACAATTAGCAGTCAACAGTAGATAAAATGTTAGTAAGCACCACATTGTGAGAATCATGCACAAAAATACTAGTCCCATCTATGTACAAGATAACATACAGCACAATTACCGCATAATGAAGTTAATGCAATTACATGTGTTTTTTGACATCAAGTTTTCATAAAAGTAAATACCTACATACTCTAAATTTTAAAAAGCAACAAACTGTTGACAAAGATTTACCATATTCTTGTTAAGGTACTTAATTTTCAATCAAATATTACATCGAACAATAACACAGCACATTTAGAGCTAAATTTATGTTCAACAAAGCAGCCAAAACAATGGCAAATTTCAATATTTTAATTCTGTAGTTTCCTTTAATTTCTGTTTCTTATTTTATACGAGTACTATACATGTTATTGTAGCAGTACTGTAGTGCTACCTACTGCATCACCGCTATTTATGCTACTACAGCAAGCTATTATTTTTAGCATTTTTCTTTGTAGCCTTTATCAATGGGAAGACTTTTGCATATTCAATTGAACTATTGTTTTTCCCTTGGGTTGATTATTTGGAATTTTATTGGCTGACTATTACCTCAAATTTGAGGTTGCTTATTTTCGCCACTTGCTTTAATTCTTCTTTCACGTTTGTTGTGGTAAACAACAAGGAAACAATACATTTCATCCTTTAGGGTTGCTAAAAATAATTGGGAACTGTTTTCAAAAATTGGAAAGAAAAAAAAAATGTGGAACGAATAAAAGGTGCTTTCACTTTGTTTTGTAAACAAAAATTCATTTGGCAATAAAAAGAGTCGCTTGAGGGAAAAAGAAAAAAGGAGAGACTTGAGTTAACCTGACCTACAAGGAGATAAAACAGAGATGACGCAAACAAGCAACTTCTACTAGTTAGAAACAAGAAGCAAAAGTCACAAACTAGAGACAAAAAGTCACCTGACCTGCACCTCGTTTAGGACCGTCGTCCACCGATTAGACTTGGTTCAACTAATTCCAGTTTCTCTTCCTTCTATTGTTCTTTTTCTCTTTTGTATCTACACTTACTTCGAGCGCAAGTATTATAAAAAAGCTTGTCATGATCCAAATTGGGTGGCTGCCATGAATGACGAGTAAACTACTTGGGCTAAGACTCAAACTTGGGAGTTAGTTCCTTTGCTTGGTGGTAAAAATCTTATTGGGTGTAAATGGGTCTACAAAGTTAAGACTCATTCTGGTGGTTTTTTGAAACGGTACAAAGCCCACTTGGTGGCTAAGGGTTTTTCTCAAAAGTATGGACTCAACTATGAAGAAACCGTTGCTCTAGTTGCTAAGATGACTATTGTCCATACTCTCATCTGTGTGGCTACTGTATCTCAATGGCCTTTATTCAACTGGATGTCAAGAATTCATTTCTCAATGGCTATCTTGAACAAGAAGTTAATATGCGGGCTCCTCCTAGCCTTTCTCATCCCCTTAGCCTTGTTTGTCGTCTTCATCGGGCCCTCTATGGTCTTAAGCAGTCTCCTCAAGCTTGGTATGAGAGATTCCATTCTATTGCTCTTCAACTTGGCTTTAAGTTGTCATGATCTCCTAAGGGGTATTTTTGTCTAAAACTAAATATGCTAGTGATATCCTCTCTCGTGCTCATCTCCCTGATGACAAGCTTGTTGACACTTCTATTAAATTGCATGCTAAGTTATCTACTTCTTTTTTCTTTTCTTTTTTTGAAAATCAACAACAAAATTTCTTAAAGAAAGTGTGGAGGACAAGAAGTCCTCATACAATGAAAAAGAACCCAATCAAAATAAAAACAACCATCAAAAAGTAAGAGAAAGCTAAGTTATCTACTTCTGATGTTATGCTCCTTAATGATCCATTTGCCTATTGTGAGCTAGTTAGTTATAGTTTACCTCAATGTGACATGCCCAGATATTTCATGTGTTGTTCACATCCTTAGTATGGCTCTGCTCCACGTTCTACCCACTGGGCTGCCCTGTTACATACTCTACGCTACATCTATGGTACTCTGCTCCAATGTTTACTACTATCTTCCTCATTAGATTTGACTCTTCGCACTTATGTTAGTGTTGGTTGGACTAATAATATCTTCAATGACAAGTCTACATCTGGTTTTTGTGCTTTTCTTGGTGAATTCTCTCATTTCCTGGAAAAGCAAGAAGCAATTAGTTGTTGCTCACTCCACCGTTGAAGTTGAAAACTGTGCTATGGCTTATGCCACTTCTGAGATAATGTGGCTTTTATAGCTTCTTTCAGATATGGATGTTTCAATTTCTTCCCCGAAATCTTTGTACTGTGACAATCAAATTGCTCATACTTTTGTTTTTCATGAGCGCACAAAGCATATTGAGATCGATTGCCACTTGTTCATCAACATTCTCAAACTGCCACTATTGATCTTCCCTTTGTGCCTTCCTCAGTTAACTGACTTCTTCACAAAGACTCACAACTAATCGCTTTCGATTTCTTATTGGCAAACTCTCCATGCTCTCTGAGCTCACATCATGAGTTATGGCAGTGGGCTGGGAGGGGTTGAGACATTATGTCATATTATTCACCATCTATGAGGGCAGTTTACTCTTAATACGTATAATTAGGCCTCTAGGGTTTTCATATTTTGCCTATTTGAGTTTGTATTTTGTTCTGCTAATTACATTAATATAATACAATATTCTGGTTCCCTCACTTTCAGAGATACTCCACTTGCCCTAGAATGAACAAACGGCAACTGAAAGAGATTGATTTCAAATATTCAATAGCTTATTATTCAATAGCCTACTTGGGGTCTTAGCACTCCGTGTAAAAGGCTTCACTTTTAAAAAGCAGTTATAGATATTCTCAAACAGTAGGTGACCCTATAAGGCACAACTCTTGTACTACTAGACTCGTAAGAAAGAGCTTCCGTGAGAACTGGAAGACTCTTGTATGCACACCAATCCTCTGTTCCTCTACTAGTGGACTGCTGCACAAAAAGACCATCAAAAGCAATGTTTCTTAGGAGGCTTTTGAAGTGCTTAGCTTTTGGTAGTGGCCTTACAAGAAAAAGTAAAATCGTGAATTGCAACGAAGTGCAAAGTGTAGAAAGCCGATGATCAGAGGTCTGACAAAAGCTAAAGACAAAAATCTGAAACTGAATGTTGAAGGAGAGAGAGAAGTGCAAATCGAGGCAGCGTCTTTGGGGAAAGAACTACACCAAAGATCACTGGAAGAGTATCACTTTGATACCATGTTACGATGCGCAATATAAAAAGAGAAAAGGTAAATTATTTCAATAAATCTGCAACGGCACAACTTAACTAACCCTAAAGAAATATAAAAGCAAAGCCCAACAAATTAAAGTACTCTTACACTAAACAGATGCAATAACCAAAAAAAGCTCACTACTAAAACACATTACATTCCTTTCATAAGTTCGACATACTCTGGCACTACATAAAGAATCTCAAATTTGTTTGGGTAAATATAAAAACATAATTTCAAGATGAGAATATATATAGTTACCCGGCCGAACGCGCTCCTGCCCCATGCAAGTTCTTGACTCACCCACAATCCCATCATTACGTACTGGGGTGCACGTAAAGGAAGTGAATTTACCAATGGCATCTTTGGTAACACGATATTGAAGAAGACCGAAAACCTCAGGTATTGGAGTACCAGAGTCAGTTTCTACCTGGTATAATTAACAGTGTGGGTATAAGTTAAAAGTAGGACTTTCAATATTGTACTACATAATAATAAAAAATAAAGAAAAAGGCACAGAAATATATATGTGATGAAGTTGTTGTGCTCAAGCATAAAAATTTAGTCTAAAGATCAGTATACCCAACCAGGAATATATCGAGTGGATAATCTTTTGAAGAAAAATTTTATAAAATAAACGGAAGTTTATTTCTTTTCATTCCATACAAGATTAATGTTAGCAAACTGAAAAAATATAAGTCATAGAATTATTCATGTAGAAAAGGGCAAGGAAAAAGGGAGAAAACTAGACAACAGCCACAGCCTAGGACACTCTCATATATTAATAAAACCAAGTGTGAATATTACAATACCATAAGCCTAACAGTTATAGGTCATCCTGGTTTAAAATAGAACACCGAACCTAATATTACTTTAGAAAGATACTCAAATACTCTAAGCAATTATTTAGTTGAATCCTAGCTTAATTACTAATAATAGAAATGGAAACGTACCAATTGCATTTATTAGACCAAAAGGTTTTTGCACCCATGTACTTCACCCTAGGTTCCGTCATCAATTATCCTTCACTAAAAAGAACCCAACTCCAGCAAGTTAGGAGGACAACCAAGAATTCTATCAAAAGGAGAAACACATCTAATCACCAATGAATTCTTCCTTAATTTAACGGCTTTTTAGTCAGTGGCACAATTAAAGGTGTATTTTGTTGGCCATGAATGAAAGAGTAGATGTTGGCACGTCCACCAAATTCTGGATGTACTCTTCAACTATGCTTCAGAAAAAAGTAATTTCTTTTTATTAGTCAACTGGTACCAATGAAAGAAACTATCCAAGTTGTGTAACCAATAAAAAAATACATCTAGGTCTTGATTTCCACTAAAACAAGGAACATCAAGCTTGGTGCCTCTATCTACATCAGTCCAGCAATGATCATCTGGTATTCGTTGGTGTCTGTACCCAAAAGCACGAGGTGGAGGCGCACCCAAAGATCCACTAGTTGCAACCTTCGCCTTTCCTTTATCTTCCAAAAAGGTGTCAGCTAACTTCACTAAAGTAGCTTGCATCTGTGCCATCTAGTGTTGTTTCATCTGCAGTCGTTGATGTGATTGCTTCAGTTCTTGTTCTTGGCTTAAGGTACTCCCCATTGTCGATATCGCATGGCTCTTGCAAGATACTCCCCATTGTTGATCGTTGGTGCCCTCCCCTAGGGCTTGTGCTGCTCAGTCAATCGATGGAGGAAGCAGACAACTAAGTTTAATAACCTTAACCTGACCCAACCCATTTTAAAACCTAATACCCTTTTACCCAAAGATAACCAGCTCAAACCATATTGACGAACCAACCTACCCAACCCATAACTAATTAAACCAATTCATTCTTAAGACTGAAATGATTGCGAGTACAGGGCTGCAACTTCAATTCAGTGGTCAACCACTGCAACAAGATGATGGGTGTGAAAGTTGGCAAGGGCATCACCAAAGGCTCAATTTCAATGGCAAGAAGATTTGATTCAAAGAAGCTGGAATTGTTAGTGTGGATGGAAGCGATGATGTGACTAACAGTGGTATGCAAGGTAGCAATGTTGCAACAATGGTTGCTGATGACAGTGGCCAAAAGAGTTAATGAAGATGATGACGATAAATGTCGATTGAAAACTCCCAAGGAATATTGATGAAGCAGTGGTTGACTGGCTGACTATTCTTGAACGATGATGGTGATGATTGTTCAAACCAACAGGATTGTATCAAGAAGGTAACTGTGCCAGTTGAACATAAATAGTGGATCAAAATTATGGCTCCGTGTGACACCCCAAAGAACACCACGTCTTATAACTATATCACTGTCCACATTTGAATAGCTTAGATCAAAATTTGAAATGATAAGATGGAAACCTTAGAAGATATCTATAGAAACTTAGAAATGAAAATATGCCCCTTGTGAAAACTAAAAATAATAAATAATTGAAAGATTATTAGGAGATAGGGGAATCCCTTAAGCTTAAATTTGTGAATACTAGGATGTGCCTATGCACTAATTGAGGAGCTTAAAGATCTTAGACTAATGTACTCATCATTTCAATATCACATGTCGTTTTGCTAATCGGGATTAGTGTTAATCAAGTAGGGTTAGTGAACCTTAATCATGATTAATTAAGTTAAGTAAGATTAAGTAAACCTTGATTAATTAGAATCTAACCTTGATTAATTATAACTAAAATTGATTACCCAAGTTAAGTAAACAAGGATAATCAAAGTTAAGAATGATTAAGGTAAATTAGATTTCTTAGTATTAAACCTGGTTAGCTAAGCTTAAGCAAGGGAATTAGCCAATTGATGAACTATACAACTTTTGCCCTACCTTACCCAATAAAACCTTAATCAAACCAAACAAATAAAGAGGAGAATTCAGAAACCTTGTAGAATAAACGAGAGAAAGGGAGAAGGAAGGAGAAGAGAAGAGAAGAGAAAGAAGAGAGAAGAGGGGACAGCTCAAGAACTTCAACAAATCTAACCTAAAAAGTGTTCTAAGGTAAGATTTATATCCAATTTCTTGTAGTAAACCTTCCTATCATCCAAAATCAAGAAAAAGTTAGGATTAAATTGATTTAGGAATGAAGAAGTTTGGAAAAGAATAGGAGAAAGTTGAGCTAGTGAAGAATTAGGTAAGAAAGCTAGAATTTCATCTCATTTTGAAGTTGTTTATGGTGTTCTTGATACTTATGAACCTTCATCATCATATATCTCTTTGCTTTGCATAGGTTTTGCAGCTTCAAACCATGTTTAGAAAGAAAGGAGAAGAGAAGTTCATGAAAAGATAGATTTTCCTGAATCCCTTGATGAACTTCAAGTTTGATTCTTAATTCTTGAATTTAAACCAAATTTCGATGGTTTTGATTTGAAAAACATTCTTTTCCCCATGTCATTGATTTTGCAAGGTTTATGTCCACTTTTCTTAGGCCCTAGCTCAAAGAAGTAGAAAGAAAAAGCTCAAAATTGCAAGATTTTCGAACAGCACCTGTCTACCCAGAACCGCACGTGCGGTTTGGATTTCCGCATGTGCGGATTGCCCCTTCAGAAATCAAAATTCAGACTGCATAAAAGGCACTTGCGGCCCGCACGTGCCTTGACCAATCCGCACAACCCAACTTCCAATACGCATATCTCTCCCATCCAGACTGGGTTTTAAGCGATTCTTGAGCCTAAATTCAAGCCACGGAAGTCTAGTTTCCAATGGTGGTGGTATCACATCCAAATTCTAAGTTTACAAAGAGATATGTCCAAATGTAGGCTGCTCACTTTCTTCCTAACCGTTTCATGCTATTTCCTCTCCTAACTTAGTTTCCTTTCGTTTCTTCCTATTTCCTTGAACCTCAAGCATCTAAACGTGATAATTTCAATACAAAACATATGAAACTGTTATAGGATCCCTAAGGCTTTTCCATATGCATATTTAGTACATGATTAATGCTTGAACTTGAGCTTAGAAAAATTAGGAAACATTAATTCAAGCCGTGAACATTTAGGGCCATTCAAAGTACGTCTTTGGCACACGCTTTGTACTTGATTCACATTTAGAAAAGACATGAATTAAGCTTAGATTAGCATTAAACACTCGAGAGAAGTTTAGGGAAACATCTAACCAAGTTTAGGGACTCGGTTTGTCATGTTCGCACAAATAAGCTAGGTACTTCAATGCCACAACCAACAGTTGAATTTAAGGGATTAAACAATGTGAGTAAGAACTAAGGACACATTAAGTCACTTAGAACGCTCTCACTAATCTAGAGGCATACAAGTTAAGTCATAGCCAAGCCTTGAACAATTTAGAAAAGATGTTAGGAAACATTAAACAAGATTAGAACACTTGAATTAAGATTAGGACTTGCAAGTTGAATTTAATTTCAATGCTTGTTCTTGTTTTTTGTAGGTTCAGCTTTGGAGAAGCTACACACTCGCTCCTGGAGCCATTTGTGAGTAGTAATTCAGTAATGCTATGTTTGTCAAACTATGTTTTGAATACAAAACTTGATTATGTTTACAAGCTTTGACATGTTTTGTTATGAATCAACATTCTATATTCTTCTATTATGTATTTAGATAATATTCACTGATCAAGCCCATAATTGGGGGAATATCCAGTCAGGCCCACTATTGGGAGAATATCCAATCATGTATAATGGCTAACCTCATTTATTACGTTTAGCCGGTAACCAGGCTGGTTAAGCACCTTGTAATCCTTGAAATGTCCATCACTATGTAATGTTTGCAAATCAAGTATGTTTTGCCTTGTTCAAGTTAAAGTTATGAACAAGTTATGTTAAATGTTATATTTCTAAAGCTCATGGATGTTCATTCATTTACCGTCTTACTTTATTACTATTCAATGGGCAATGGCTCGCCCCTCTATGTAGGTGACGGAAAGTTCGGGTATGAAGAGAAGTTAAATTAGAAGCCAGACTTGTGTGCTTGTGCTAATTGGTAAAGTTATGACACATGTATTATATTTTATCATTTAAGTTGTGTAATAATGTAATGTAACGCAATTAAAAAGAGTTTATGCTTTCATTTCATATAGTTATGCACTGCTTTGCATGGATGCTATAAATGACCTCAATATAACAGATAATGGCTTCCGCACATCTATTAAAGAAATTTTGCCCCATTTATAATAAGAGTCCATCTTGTTTTTGCTTTATTAGGCCTTTTGTAGTTGAGGACTATTGGCCGATCACTACACCATCGTGTTTGGGGCAAGTTGGGGTCATGACACTCCGATGCCAAAATGATCTAGAATACGATAGGGAATGAGGGAGGAAATCACACAACTAGGGTTGCTCAAATACCCGTCCAACCCGACCTGGACTGAAGGCAAACGGACGGTTTCAACACTTCATGGGCTCTGGCATGGACAAATATGTACAATTTTCATGGGTTGTCGGTTGATTGAGTAGCAAAACCCGCATAACCTGAC